TTTTAAACACAGCATGTCTGGTTTATTTTGGCTTCCTTTCTCTTTTTACCCAACATATTAGAAAAACAGACATGTATCTTCATTGCACTGTGTATTCACAGCACACTGATCTGTGCCATTTTGCATCTTCTGCCACTGTTGATCTCATGTTGTTATTGAGGACCCTTTGTGGCAGACATTGACCAAAACACTTTAAAACAACACTCTAAAACAACACTCTAAAAGCATTGTTTTCCCATTATTACCCCAATCTTCTCATTAAGAGTGACAGAGACAAATCTAATTCAATTCTTGCAACTAGATCTCAGGCCTAAGCACTTAAATAGTTGTTTTCTGGTGAGCAGCCTGTCAGAAGAGACTCCTGCTCCATCCTCAGACCTAGTGAGGTGACACCACTGAATCCAGCTGAAATCCAGCATCAGCATCACCTACCTAACTGTGTGTGTTTTACATGTGTCTGTAGTTTTTTCCATCCCACTCCTGACTTTGTCTTCAGGTCTGTACCACTACACTCATAAAGTGTAATACTTGATAGGTCAAGATATTTTTAATTTTTTTTGTGGTAGTAGTTATTAAAGAATTTAGAGTTTTGAAAGTAGTCAGTTGCTTTCCTTTGTGTAAATACCATTTTTCATATATAAAAAAACAAGATTAGTCATTTGATAGCTGACATTTCAGTAATGTTATGTTGCAGTCTTTTTCTCTTAAACACAATGCCACAAAAACACCTGTTACTCTGACAATCAAAATTCATCTATTGTAAAAATGTCCTTAACATTTGGGTTTGCTTGAAGAAGTAGCTTTAATCTTCTGTCCAACTGTCAAAGAGGATTTTTTTCTCGTATGGGTAGCTTAGGAACTGTATTTTGCAGCTGCCCAGCATTCTTGGAATGCAGCATGACTTCAGAAATAGACCAACTGAGTGCACTACTTTCCCTGATATTTAATCTACTTTATAGAATATTCCCTCGGCTGTGTAGCAGTCACCAAAAGGGAAGTAATAAAAAAGGGAGAGATTTTCTTCTTCTGTTGTTCTCCTCCTTTGACTTGAATCACAATGCAGGGAGCACATGGACGAGTCCTTCATCCTCCAGCAGAAAGAATTAACTTTGTGATTCCAGTCCTCTTACCTGAAAGTGTTGGGGATTCAGCACCTCCTTCCAGTTCCAAGACAAACTGCTTAATGGCCAGTTATTTTCAAAAAGCTGACATCTTGTTCACTTGTCTAGAAAATGGAGTTAGGAGTCTACACATCTTAACCAATGAGCTTAACATCTTGTCCCTGTCTCGAAACTTAATACTCCCCAGTTGCTGCTGTTTTGAATGATCAAACTAAATGTTTAATACTTCCTTCATTGTGTTCATTTTCAGTGGAAAGACTTGCAATTAAATGCCAGTGTTGCCAAAGAAACCACAAAGTCACTGGTTATTTCTGTCTCTGAAATCACAGAGTAACCATATAACCTTCCCTATGCTAGCTGGTGAGGATAGGTACATGCTAGCATCAATGTGACAGACACCACTGCAGTATCAGGCAGAGAAAACTTCTGAATTATGAAAGGAGATGCCTTGGAGACCATTGAGACTTAAGAAGAGATGTCCGTTAGTTAATCACTGGAGTTTGAACATTACAGTAATTTGCTTTTCCACAGAGAACTTGTAAAAACTTTTAACAGACTAACTGGATCCCAAGTGCAACTGAGATAGAAATTGCCTCAGTTCTGCTTCAGTGATTGTAGCAATGCTGATTTTTACCATCTGAGCATTTGAGTTCATGTTGCTGTTTGTAACCATGGTGAGAAAGGTATATTCCAGTGACCTGAGTAACATAGCATACTGGAGTTGAATTATTTTTCTGTTTCTAGTTTCTCACTTTCTCTTTGTCTTATTAACCTTATAAGCAACAGCAAAAGTAATATGAAATATATACGAAAAATTCAGATATAACATTTTGTAAGTAGCTTTTACAAACTTAACTTGCTGAAATAAGGACACAGTAAGTTGGTAAGTTTATTTGTCTGCAAATATTTTGTTGAATTTGGAAATATTATCCACTCTTCTTGTCAAAAGATCAAAATCTTAGATTCATTTTCCCGTGTGAATGTGATTCATTCTTGATGTTTCTGATGACTCATTCCCTGTTCTTACCTTGTCTTCTTCAAATGCAAATGGGAAAATATATGCAGCCTCTGTCTAACTCTCAGACCTGTTTTGATACATAGGTAAAACTCACTATGTGTTTTAAGAAATTCTTAGGAAACAGCCAAAGCAGTCACATTGTTCTTGCAACAATGGAGAATAATGTTTGGATTAAAGTTATGGCATCTTTGTTTGTTATCAATTTTCTGGACCAAGAATAGTTAAATAAGCAGTTAACTCTGAACTCTCTGAGTATTAGTTATATCGTAGGATGGTGAGAATGATTTTATCTTTCAATTAGGGAGCTAACTCATGTAGAACATGTTGGATCTACTTTGAGAAAGAAAAGTGCTGAAAATGTGGTGAAGTTAAGCATTTTTTTAGATCCATTAACATTTATTTCATTTTCAGAAGTCCTGGAAAGTAAGCACAGTGAAAAAGTTTGCTTGCATATAGGCATATACAAATGAGTTTTCCCATTTTATCAGAACAGAACTGATTTCTTCTTTGTCAAGGGATAGCAAGAAAAACAAGCATCCTTACAACTTATTTGTAAGTATTTAGCCAAGCTTCTTAAGCACGTCTTTTAACCTTGGTTTTTAATCTTAGTAATCAATTAAAAGAATATCTTTAAGAAGTTGTCAGCCAAAAATAGCAGCTCTATTGCATACACCAGATCCCCGTCCCAACTTTGGAAAATGTTTCCCTTCCTCTCTTTCTCTTCTTATCCAGTCATGTCATCCAACAGAACCAGAGTCTGGGATCTGAGAGTATACAGGAAGGCAGCTGGGGAGAGAGAAGATAAAAGCTTGGAGAAGACAGAGATGTTTTCTCTTGTTCCTTATATACTTTCTAAGCATCCTGTCTGACTTATAGGGAAAAGACACCCTGTCTGCCAACTAACTTAATGGCTTTTAAAGTGATACCCTTTTTCTCATTTGGTATTTGGAAAACAGTAATGGCAATTGATAGCCGTGAAGTGTCGTTTCAAAAGAACGTTTGAGTCAGTTTAGAAACTTCAGGATTACATGTCTTGAGTTTTTCAGAAATAAATAAATGGTCTCCTTTTTCTTACTCTGAAACTGTTTGCAGAATTAACCTGACCTGTACTGCTATCTCCATCCAAACCCTGAAGTGCCTTTTTTAAACAAACTCAATGCCTGCGGCCTGCTCTAATGCTTTGTCAGATCCCAAATTTCATCTGCCACCTGCCAGCCGCTGACATACATCTTGATAAACAAGATGTATTTTTGTTGATATATTGTTTTTCATTCCATGTGAACTGGGTTGTTCTTGTTTACACCCAGCAGTATAAAACAGCTCCTATTGTCCATTGTTCCCTTATGTACTCTCAGAAAACCTGTTTGTTTCTGGCAGCCTTCTCTTCAAAGAATGTGATGCAGAGTACAGATAAAAGTGCAAGCATCTATTATGATGACTGGCATTCTGACAACAGTATGGAAATCATCTGCTTGGGAAGGCAGGCGGGCACAGCCAAACAAAATTAACTGTAGTTTCAATTGGATATGATAAAACATATGCTTTAATTCCAGGAGAATTAAAGCAGCTGTACAAAGCCTGCTGCTTATTTCCTAGGCTTCCTATTCATGGCAGGTTCCTTCAGCAGGAGCTGATATTTACATAGATGCTACGCTCCAGCATACTTTTAAGTGAAATAGTCTGAATAAAGGTTAAAAAAAACCCAGAGTTCTTCAAATATTAATTGCTCTCAGAAGCTTTAAGGAATGTTTGCAATCCTAAAAGCTGATAACTGACAGACTTCAAGTGTTGATGCTTTTTTTCAGCCCTGAGGGATAGAGGAAAGGCTCCAGTCATCAAAGCTGTTTCAGACAACACTAAGAAAATTATTGATGTTTTCCAGTTCAAGCTTTGACCTGACCTGACCCTGCTTAACTTTAAAATCTGACCATCAGAGTCTGAAATTATTTTTGCTGTATCTAACAGTTGAATGCATATTTAAATGTTTTAGGCCTCTACTATCAGTATTGGTCCTCTGATCAAAGATTGTTCTATTTGACTTTTACACAGCTGATTTTGTGTTGGCAGCCATAAAAAATATTTCTGAAGGAAAAAAAATAACTGAAATCTGAGATCCTATGGGGTTTTTTTTTATTTCTCACTAAAATATATTTTTAGTAAGAACCTAATAATCTTCAGTGGTGTCTGCTGAAAGGCCCTTATTTGCTTCTCTAATGCTATCTTTTTCTCATTATTGCTGGCTATATTCAACAAAATAATGTTCTTGAAAGAGACCAGCTATTACTCTTCCTTACATTTTATCATCCTCCTCCTGTTTTATTTTCAGTTCTAATAGTGAAAAATGCTAGAAATCCTTTTAGATGCATTCACCAAATACAAGTGTCAAATTCCCTAAACATCAGAAAGCAAAAATAGCCGTAGAGAATCTTCGGCAAGACCCCAGCACTTCCATAAAACAATCAAAATGAGATAACTGGTATTCAAACCAGGGAAAGACTCTCTCCCGTCACTGATATTTCTCTGAGTTGCACAGGGATATCAGGTTGATACTTTGATAGATTGCAATCTGTTTTCAGCAGCTGACCCAGACATAACATCATCATTTCCTGATTATATTGATATGTGTTTCTATTATTTGCTTATTTTGCGCCTTGAGAAACAATTCCTTTTTGTTGTTAAACTGTAAACAGCACAGCAAGGCCTCATATTAAATCATAATTATTTACCATGCTGTTCACGCACCTTTGTCCCTGGGGAATGTGGTGACGTGAATTTACAGGAAGATCGGGGTATTTCTCACCAACAGTTTCCTGTTATTGATATGCTTTTGTTTAGTTGTGATCTTTTTTTTACTCTTTCAGGTTCTCAGAGGAAAAATAAACAGGCACATGACATTAATCACAGTCCTTGGGTATCGTATTGGAAGTCTCGCAAATACTTTCGATGTGGAAATGTGAACTAGGTTTGCATCTTTGGAAAACACCAATGACAGCTTATTGTTTGCTAGTACTTACTCTCCTATTCTGATAAATGATTCCAATAATTCTTTAAAATTCTTTTGTGACTGTGTTCCTTTTTAGATGCCAGAAGAGTTCAAAAGTTTATGAAGACAACCTTGAACAGCTTGCATCTGTGTGTGTATATTTGCATAATTGGGCTAAGTTTTCATTTGAGAGAAAATATGGATCACATAAAAGGTTCAGAGGTGATTCAAAGATCCAGAGTCCCTTCAGCAAGTACTATCAAACATGGCCAAAAATGTTTTCTTTAAGATAGTTTGCCAAGTTATTTTCTTTAAGAATATATGAAGCTTCTATTCTTTCTGCAAAAAAATAATAGTATATAAATTGTATTTACCAGTGTGTCAAAAGTCACCAGTATAATTACCAGAGTAGCTATCTAATATATCTAAGACTTAGCTAGATAAGAACCCTAAATATTTTTCCATGGTTTTGGCTATCCTACTTTTGTGTCTGTGCCTATGGATATATGGTGCACTCCTAACCAAAGACTTTTGCAAAACATCTTGATTTTTCAATAAGGAGTTGCAGTAGAACAACCAAGAAATTTAATAACAAGCCAAACTTTGGGAAATTTAGCTTTTTTTTTCTTCCAGAGCACTGTAGAAATGTTGTGGTTACAGGCAAAATGACATGTACTAGAGAACCCACAGCAGGAAGGACACCGAGAGATGGATCTGTTGCTAAAACACATCATTAAATAACTCACAAGGAATATAGTAGCTATTCAGATTCATTGCCAAATTTTCGGGGTTTAATACTTTAATTTCATCATTGTTAAATAGGATCTTTCTTAGCATTTGTGCTGTAAGATTTAGAGAAAAACCCCAGAGTTGAACCTACTAGACCACAACATATTTGTGGCTGCAGATTTATTGTATTTTGTACTTAGTACTTCATTGCTGCACTCTTATTTTCCTTCATTTCTGTTGCTAGTATTAAGTACTAAAAATAAGCTCACAAAAGCTGTATGTGATATGATAGTAATAAAAATCATAGAAGCATAGAATGACTTTAGTTGGGAGGAACCTTAGAGGCCATCCAGTTCTAACCCCCCCTGCCATGAGCAGAGACACCTTCCACTAATCCAGGTTGCTCAGAGCTCCATCCAGCCTGGCCCTGAACGATTCCAGAGATGGGACATCCACAGCTTCTCTAGGCAACTTGTTCCAGTGCATCACCATCCTCACAAAAAAGAATTTCTTCCTAATATCTAATCTAAACCTTTTTTCTGTTTGAATCCCTTCCCCCTTGTTCTGTCACTACATGCTCTTCTAAACAGTCTCTCTCCATGTCATATAACTTTATACTGAGGTTTTTCAACTGCTCCTTTCCAGGCTGGCCATATAATCTAAATTGCTCTGTAAAGAGTTTTTCAGTCCTGCTCCCACTGGATTTCTGTGAATTTGTCCTTATCTGTAAGCTCAGCCAAATGAGATCTGGCTTCTTTTCAGATGAGGAAATTCTAAGAAATCTCAGGTTATTAGGCTGTTCAAGTTGTGACATTTTATCCTCTGGACTTGCACATCTTGAAAGCAAATTGCTGGTTCCATTACTGAATAAGATGTATTTCCTCCCAAAGCCATCAGTTTAAGAATTCACAAACTAGGCAAGATACCTTTCTCCTTGTGGGGTAAAAAAATTACAAAACCCACAAATTATTTATTAAGCAGTCCCTAATAAAGTTTCCTATCTGATTTTTTTCATTGAGTGTGAGCGTCCCTCAAATCACGTAAGTGTGCCGTACCCCCAAGTAAGGTTTTTTTTCCATTCCAAGTGAAGTTTGAGACTAACAGATTAAGTCCCCAGCACAATAGCAAGCTCATCTCCCACTCTTTGATACCACCCTTCAAGACCTTGGGTGCTGGGTTCTCTTTCAGCACATAGTCCTCTAGAATCCATAAAATCATAAAGTCCCTTCAGTTTTTTTCCTACACTTTGCCTTTTTAACATCACCTTTTGGGGTGTCAACTCCAAGTTGTGGAGTGGTGCACTGTGTCCTGGCTGTGCGTCAGCAATCGTGTTGCCTGAATTAAACCATGGCTTAATATCTCACTCACAGCTGATGTATTCTTTAACCTACTGCAGCTGAAGATGAACTCAGATAAAATGTTTTGGAAATTTAGGAAATGCCTAATTCTCTAGTCATATCCACAGCTACACTCTGAATGCACATTTTTAACAGTTCTTCCTTCCTCGGTAAGGGTTTAAGATATGAATCTGGATCTTCTATTTAAGACAGGATGGAAAGTAGTCAGAATTACATATTATCCAAAATATTTCAGATTCTTTACTCCTACTGGATTGGTGTTTGGGATAACTTCTTAGGGGAGAGGAAGAAAAGGGGCCTGTCATTTTTCTGAGTCATTGAATATTTTGTTGCTGTTGTTTCTCTGTAGTTCTTCCTTTCAGATAACTACCTCAAGAGCTATGTCCAACAAGATGGTGAGACACTTGTACTCTGTTATATCTCTTTGAAACCTCAGTAAGTGATCTTGATATGTTTAACATTTCCCTCAAGATATTTCTATTATTATTCTTTCATCTCACAGGAAAAGTTATTTCTGTTGTTGTTAAATGCCTTTTGAAAAGAGAGATGCCAGTCATGGTCATTACAGAATTACAACCCCAAATCAGAATGCTTTTCACTCTGCATGGATGCTTTGGCCACTTTGATTTGTTTTATATTTGACTAACAGATTGCTTTCATATTTCTCTACTAGGAGGACAAATGTTCAAGACAAGAAGTCAAAATTAGATATTCAAAGGTCAGTGTTAGGTAGCAAAGCTTATGCACAAACCCTGCCCTGCTTCCAGAAATACCCAAGTTCTGGAAATCTAAACTTTCTCAAAAGTTCATACGTCTCTCCTGTTTCCACAGTTCTATGTCTTATTGGAAGGTTTCATTTTCACACAGAATGTGCATTTTTCTATTCAATCAGCAGCAATTTTACATATTCCTCTACTTGTCTCATGACAACTCTGTTTCCTTCTTATTACTTCTTACTGATCAAAAAACAATAAAAAGGCTCTTGATTTCCCTGCCACTGCATTTTAGGTTTGGATGAGATGGGTTTTGTAGGTTCCTTCCAACTGAAACAATCTATTTTATTCCATTCCATTCTATTCTAACTTCCACTCATCAGCTGCCTGATAATGTACTTCTTTGGTGCTGTGTTATGGGTCATTATATCTAAAATGTATGTAGCTATAAATACTATTTTAACACGGGGTCCAGAAGAATGCTGTGGTATTTATCTCAGCTGAAAGACTGAGGTAGTGTTCACCTCCCTTAACTCACACAAGTGCAGTGTAGAAATCCACTGATTTTTGTGGGTCCCTTTCAACCCAGAATATTCTGTGATTCTGCAATTATGTGACTCTGTGATCTGTTCTCCGTAGACTCCATAGACTCCCTACATACTTTATAGAGAATGATAAGCTCTGAGAGAATTCCTCTCAATCTCTAGAGAACACCAGGGTGGGTCAGATCACTGTGCATCACAGTTGTGAATGACCTGGGTTTACAATTGTAGAGTTTAGAAGGAAAGCAAATGACTTTAAAACGGTGTGAGCACTCTAAATAAGAATTGTGCAGGTGGTAGTCAGAGGGGACACTGGAGGGCAGGAGTCCAACCTGCCCCTCCAGGCAAGGCTGCATGAGGTCAATCACAGCTTTGTGGCTGGCAAGATAGCCCTGTGTCACCTTGGCACTAGCACACACTAACTGGCCACACTGTTAAGCTCTCTTAGTCTAGACTCACGGTGTTTGCAGCATATCTCCTTTTGATGAGGTAAGCCCTGCTCAGAACCCTTGTACTGCATCTGCATCCCCTTCTTGCCTCGGCAGCTTTTTGACTTCTCAGGGTGTTTTAGCACTGTGTGTGGTTTAGGTGTGATCTACCACTGAACTCAAGCTCACAGAGGCACCCAACACACAGTGGGTACAGATTGTCACTGGATTGTGCAGTGAATGCTCTGAGGGCTCAGCCACTGTTTCAAGGAAGGGCAGATACATTCTGCCTTTGAAGAGGCAGGATACAAACACAGGTCAGCCTTAGGTAGGCCTATACACTGTCCTAGATTCCTGAACAAGATACCAGTTTTGCAATTAAAATGTCTATTTTTTTATTTGAGAGGTCAATTACACAAATGGGATTATAGTTATGCAAATGCCTGCGTATGAAATGTACATATCTCCTGCCTGCTGTTCTGTTTGCAAACAGAGAGCAGCATCCCTTAGTATGATAATCTGATTGATTTGAAGATAAATTTAGGCTGGGGCAAGTGTAAATACTTGAGCTACCATCTTGCTGGCCAAGACAGTCTAACACATTGTCTAATGTCAGCTTGGAGGCAGCCTGGTCTCACTGAGACTGCTCAAACCCTGTGACTCTGTGATCATAAAGAGGAAAGAGGAACTCCAGTGACAGGATCACTGGCCCCCAGGAATGTCTCCAGGAGACCTGGTTGTGTTGAGCATTCAAATGGCATTTCCAAATCCTTTTGATCTACCTTTTAGTTAAGAAAATGTAACAGAGTTGTAGTAGAGTCTAGGTCCTGAAGATATTTCAGCTGTGATGTCCTCTGATTACATACTTGGTTAATGAGAGCTGACTCACAGCAACCAGAAGACTAACAAGAAATGGGAGTGATTGTATGCAGACAGGCTCTCCATTTATTCCAGAGGTGGTTACAGAATCCCATGAATTTCACGCACATTTTATCCAGGGAAATTTCCAAGTGTAAAAGCTACACAATGAAATAGAGCTTGCGGTATTACTTATATCCATAAATTTAAATACAACAGTCAGAAAGCTGATCTCATGGGAGAACTGAGCTCACAGCCAGTGAGGTCTACCACAGAGAGTACATTTTTAAAACATAAAACCCCACTATCTCTCCTCTTAAAAAATATTTATTCTTTCTTTTCCTAAGCTATGTTTTTCTCTGGCATTTTTCAGGTATTGGTGCCAATGTCATTTTACAATAATTTTTGGTTCAGAATACAACATTTTAAACTCCTTCTGTCCACACAAAAAAAGCAAATGAAAAGGGAAACAGAAAAGCCTTTATTTATTGTCCTCTTTTTCCACCAGAATTAAATAGTTATCCATTGTTAGGATAACCAAAAATCACTCGTTAATGTTACCAAAAACATTCTGGAGTAAATGAAGAATAATATAGGTGTCAATAGTTATTAGTAAAAAAAGAAGTACCAACAACATAATATGTTATCATAACAATTTCACTTATAGA